AATTCTGAACAGAACGTTTTCCTTGTGCCAGGCTGAGCTCCATGTTGTGTTTTGGTAGAAAAGAAAGAGGACTACAGGTTTCAAGAGATAAGTTTATCTCCCCAAAAAATAAATAAAGTTCTGATATTGTTTACTCAACCTCAGGTTGTTTCAAACCGCTATATGCTGCATCCGCCAAAGCTCGCATCCAGTTTTAAAAATGTGACGCGAGTTAATAATGAAATGCATATATTTGCCTTCTCTGGTATTATTCAAATGCTTTAAAGTGCACATATTATACTTTTTCTAATATTACCTTTCAAGCAGTAAATAATATAGCTTTTTGTGAACTTGCACGGATTAATAGTCACCACAAGACTAGTAATGTGCACTAACAAAGAAAATAGGGTAAATAGGTACATTTTGATTTGATGATGACTTTAAAATAGCATAACAGGGGCAGTTTTAACGGTCAGCATATTTGCTACAATGCAATGACTCTTGGATCCATTTTGTCTTTAAGAATCATTCACTGAAAAGCAAACTGTTGGGAGCTCAGTCTGCTAAGGCTACATCAGCCTTGTTCATATGACAAAGTAGATGCAGCGTCATTCACCTTGCTTAATTCACAGCATTTGTCGCCGCCTGTACCCTGTCAGTTAATGTTCGTCAGCAGAGCTGAGATTCCTGCCCATTTGTGTTCCCTGTTCAGAATCCAGATGCTTCTCTCCTCTCCTCGCCTCTTCTCAGCCAAGCGGCGGCATGATTAAGCTTGATTTGTCACCAAATTATATACACAAAGTTTACATGCATTGTGTGCCACTCCAGCTGTTCCAGATTTGTACGATGGAATAAATCCTTAAGCACTCAATTCTGTGAGCACACACCACAGACTCTCCTGGTGAAGAGAGAGAAGAAGAAAGAAGGGAAAGCAACGACTGAACAAACCTAACATGTGTGAAAGGGATAGTTCACCCCAAAATGACAATTTTGTCATCATTTACTCACCCTCAAGTTGTTTTAAACCTGTATAAGTTTCATTCTTCTGTTGAACACAAAAGAAGATGATTTAAAAAATGTTGGTAACCAAACAGTTGACGGCACCCATTCGACCCAAGGTTTGAAACAACTTGAGGGTAATGACAACATTTCATTTAACTATCCCTTTAAGCTTAAGCAACAGTATTGCCAGGATTTATTCACTTAATTCAAAACACATTAAAAATGTAATTCACACATACTTCTATAATGAGCATGTTTTAATTTCTGAATTAATTCATTTAATCTGTCAGTATGTAAATAATTACATATGGATAACCACTGATACCAAACGTTTAGGGTCAGTATGACTTTTAAAACTTTTTTTTAAAGTCATACTGTATCTTATGCTTACCAAGTTTGCATTCATACAGCAAAAAACAGTAATATTATTACAACTTAAAACGATGGACTTTACACAATTGAACTGAAATCAACACTGAACCGATTTCAACTGAATACTGATATTTGATGAAGTTAGCATCAATGATTGTTATTTTTCTGTGTATCACTTTAAAACAATCTGTATTATATAAAGCGATATATAAATAAACCTTTTTTTATTTTAATATGATTTAAAAAGGAATATATTTCTGTGAAGACAAAGCTGAATTTTCAGCAGCCATTACTCTAGTCATCAGTACAACATTATCACTCAGAAATCATTCTAATATGCTGATTTCATGCTCAAGTAACATTTCTTATTATTATCAATGTTAAAAAATAAATAAAAAATATATGAAAAAACTAAATTTTTCTGTGGAAAACAGGATTCTTTGATTAATAGGGTTCAAAAGTTCAAAATAACAGAATTTATTTAAATGGGTCATGACATGAGAAATCAAAATTGCCTTGATCTTTTGACATACCATCTTGCAAGTTTCATAGTTTAAAACGAAGCATTTATTTAATCAAGCTCAAAAAATGGCTCGTTTTTATATTTTAGGATCTGTGACATCACAAGGGCACATACATTTGCATATGACTGCCTCCAGAGCAAGTAGTTTTACATCTTCACACCATAGGCCCTGTGTACTGGCATTCAGCCGCTTAAAGGCTTACATTTGCCTACACTGAATGTGAGTGTCACGTCAAAAGCAAATAAAACCCATTATAATCACTGACGCTGTCTATACTGGATACAGTATACAGATGCACATTCAGTATTTGACATACTCCACGCACTTGAGTCTGTCGACAACAGGACAAATGGAAGAGTGAAAGAACGTTTGCTCTTTTGCGTCTCTGTTCAGACTTCAGAAGGATCCCAGCATCGGAGATGGTAAATGGTTTATTTTAATGCCATCCCGTATCGTGTCGGAGGATTATATGGTTGTTTTTGTATTTTGTATTTATTTAGGAAACAATATACTGCTGCCTGTATATCTAGTAATCAATATTGGGAAACAAATGCTGTCAATTGAGCTTAACTTCTTTGAACACGGAACACGATGGTGGATCTGAACAAGGGAGCTCTGAACATTATGCAGGATCTAATGGACATGTGTTTTCACTGAAGCATATTCAAGCCACAGTGCTTCATTTTTCCAATGTCTAGGTATCATTCCTACAATGAATCAGATAAATGGAACAGGCAATAATTGCTTTGTGGGCATCATTACGCGAGAAACTGTGAAGAAGAGGTCGTAATTAGAGCAGACCTCAGAGCTCAGTAGACCTTGATCAATACCATTAAAAATGTGCACTTTTCTTAGACTGCATTACAGCAAAATAGATTTTTTTTTGCCACTAATGATTCTGAACTGCACCTCCATTACCACATATGAGAAAAGGCTTGATTAACATATAATCAAATCAGTTTCTCTTGCACATACTGATAATATTGAAAAAACAAAGTGAAGATTCACTGTGCAATTAAAAGCTTGTTATAATGACCTTCATAATCTCAGGATCAACAATACATTTCTCATTTATTTCTCAAATACAGTCTCATTTAGCACACTTTCATGCCCCTGAGCCATTGTGTACAAACAAAATGATTTATAATAGCAAACTACAATGGGAAAAGGGTGTGCAGCCTACAACAAACTGTAGTCCAAAGTCAATGCTAATGTTCATGAGTCGTTAGCACAACGCTATCTGACTCCCTCGGGTAAAATTACCACAGCCATCTTGGTTTATTTCCACTTCCTGTGACTTTAAAGGTCATCTTTAAGGAGAAAGAGATCTAAAACTTGTGTCACCTTTCTTGTTGAGAATGTGTGTTTGTAATTGTTTCTTAAGGACATGGGCCCTGCCAAAAGACAAGATGGCAGAAGGTTTGCACTGAAAAATCGTAATGATCAGCTAGTGTAATTACAGAAATCTAAATTTGCATCTTGGGTTTTAATTCATCAAATCCATCTTTCCTACAAGCTCTTTAGTTCGCTCCATCTGCTTCCTAAACAAATGGCGGAAAAGACTGGGAGTCTGTTAGCTCATTTTTCTGCCGCAATTACGCGGATGCTAATGGCTACTGTATTGATTGTTATTGCAGCGCAGAAGGTCAAGGTTGCATGAAAATGTAATCAAAAGAACTTTTAATGACACGAAGGAGCTAAATCGTCCCACCAGAAACCCATTTAAAGATAATAAACAATTAGCAGAAAGTCCATCTATACGTGTCACATCCTCTGGCTCCATTCTCGGTATCTGCAGCAGCTTGAATGGCAGATTTAGCCGAGCCTCCACCGTGGATCGCTCCTCAGAACAAGTTCACAATTTTCTTCACAACTCGACAGTATGCTTGGGCGTTCGCTAATTTCGCTATTGTGCGATTTGGCTCGCGTATCTGTGAAGTTTGATATTTTGGATGCTACTTGTGTAAAAGTGTGAAAAAGTCACAGCTTTCTGGGAGCTTCGTTCAGCTGCGTAAGATTAGCGACCTGTGATACTGCCGCTAATGATGAATTAGTTTGGAGTGCAACCGCAGATACTGTATCTGTCATTACTTAATCAACTTCAGTTCTAGCAGGCATGGCAATCAAACAACTCGGAGTTGTGTGCTACGGGGGCAGAGAGACATAACGCATGGCTGGATCCGCACTACTCTAATTTCCCTCCAGATAATGAGTTACATTCACTAATGTGATGTCAAAGGCATAGCCAGAGTTAATAGAATGATTGATAGGGCTCAGTAATAGCTCACTGCTGCAAAACAGACTCTCCAAAAAAACACTAAGCAATAATTAATCCACATTACTGACTGTATTGTGCAGAGGAATCCGCTATGTGTGCTTAAAACCTTTATCTCGTACTCTCCGAGAGCAGACGTTGGGCGAAAAACATTCGAAATTGTTTACTAACCTCCTGTCTAGGTAAATTATAGGCAGCCGCAGGCCAAACACTTTCAATGGTGACAAGTGATAATGAAAGGGAGATTTTGCATCAAAATGCTATAATATTAGTGTAAAGTGGCATCATTACATTTGATTTTCTGACACCGATGGTGCAAAACATTTGTTGTCATTTCTTTCAAAGCCAATTCACCCAACATTTTTTAACTCCCCATGACGCCTGCACATCGCAGGTAAAAAGAATGCATACATTTGAAACGTAAAGTGCAGGAAAATTAGACTTTAACCCCCTTCTCCTTCTGCAGTCGTCACAAACAGCCTTATTTCTTTCGCCGGCCCTGCAGAACTCATGCCATTTCTCCATGGAGCCCCGAGAGCTCACGTCGCAATTTCATCAACGCCTGCCGAACGGCGCGCGGCAAAACTCCCTCATAGGTTAATCCCGATATCACACTTCACCACCAGTTCACTAAGCTGCTTAAAAGGACACATTATAACTATGACAATGACCTGCTAATGGTTTTACATTTCTCTGAAGCATCATGAGCTATCTTTGTCATTTTTATCTCATAATGAGATCTGTCAATTGCACAAGGGAGAAGGAGATCCAGCGGCCAAGGACGCTGATATTTCACCCGCCCAGGCAGAATAAATAATAGCCTGAAAAACGCAGGGGACAAAACAAACCTTGATCCCCTCCACTGCTCAGTTTTCGTAGCAGGCGACTGCTTGGTCTCCTCCCCAGGGGTGCTTGTGTTCTGTGTCGCTATGAGCTGCTTTGCTGCTGTGGGCAGGCTGGTCCTCAGGGCCACGGCGCTGGACTCCACGCTGGCCTGTGATGGATGACTGGCTGCTCCCATGGGCGTCTTTGAATATTTCCTCAAGCAAAGTCGCCTGAAGAAAATGGGACATCATTTGTCACGTTATTACTGTATTAAGGCCAAATTTTAATTTTCTTTCTTGTTCTCCTCTCTTGTCCTCGAAGAGCAATTTATGATATAGGGCCATCAAACTTGAAACAGATGGTTGTGACGGTTTCTTCTCTTAGAGGAGGAGGTCTACTGTGAAATGTCAATCGGAGACGTTAAAAAGAATATCTGATGATGATCCTATTCTGCACGCAAAATTAAAACTTTAAAGCATGGGTCCAGATGCACACTAAATGAACCATTTGCAGTTTTTTAGTTTGTTTGTTAAAAGATATGTCTGAGGAATTCAGGAAGAATGGATGACTAATCAGAATACGTGGGCAGTGGATGCATCAACACTGAACTGATAAATGCAAATGAACAAAAAAACAAAACAGGGTTGAACAATAACCATCAAAACTTAGATTTAGAGCTTTAGTCATACTTTCTGTTCTTTTAATTAAACAAAGGCCTATTTTAGCTGGTACAAATACATTTCTGGAATATTTAAAGGCAAAGTTCACCCAAAAATTTTAATTATTTACTTGTGTACTTGTGTTTCATGATTTCCTTTCTTCAGTGGAACACAAAATTAAGGGTTATTATTGTTAACTAAAACTAAAAGTAGTAGAATATTTTTGTTAATCTAAATAAAGTTGAAATCAGAAACTTTAACTAAACAAGGTTAAGCTGGAAAAAAATATTTACTGGAAATAAAAAACTATAAATGAACTAAATATAAATTAATCATAGTGTATATGTATTAGGGGTGTAACGGTACATGTATTCGTATTGAACCGTTTCGGTTCGAGGCTTCCGGTTCGGTACGCATACAAACCGAACGATTCCTTGGACCATTTTTCCTACCGACAAAATTCGCGCTGGCGCGATCACCACAACGTTGCGCAACATCAAATGGCAAGCGTAAAGAAAGCGGAACGAAACTGCGCTACTCATTATATTGTGCTTCACGGATCGTTTATCAGTTCGGAGTTCGGACCAGCAACATCTGTGCAGCGCGAGCCGATCTCGATCAAGCGACACTGTCACTACACAGCGCTAAGATCAAGTGAAGAAAACATTTGAATTCGCCACTGAAGTAATAACATCGCTGCGAGATCTAGTGAGAAGCATTCACATTTCTCCGTTATTAACCGTAGATCTCTATTAGATCAAACAGCGCTGACGTGGACACCAGGAGAAATATTGTGCCGTGAATGAACTAAGTTAGTAATACTTTACGTCCACAGACCAGCAACATTCACCATAACTGTAATCAGTATATACATACACAAATACATAAAGTATCATAAAAGTGGTCGATATGCCTCTTGCACTATAATTTTATGTCTGATTTGTGAACAAATTGTTCAATTGAGGTCTTAATGAATCGGTTGATACAGTGCACAAATTATTTGTTCACAAATCAAGTTCAAGTGCCTGACTCAATGATTTGGTAATAGCCATTAATAGTTACTGGAGGAGAGGATAAGCAAATAACTATTTAAATTGTAATATATATATATATATATATATATATATATTTTTTTTTTTTCACAAAAAGCTATCAAAGGACTTCAGAAGACTTGAAATATAGATGTATGAGTGAGTCATATGAGCAACATATATGATACTTTTATTTTAGAGTTTGACCAGCTTAGTCCTCTTTAAATTGCACTATATGGGATTTTTTTCCCCCAAGATATTCATTTTGTGTTACATAAAATCAGCCAGTCAGTCATACAGGTTTGCCAAAACATGATGGTGAGTAAATGATGACTGAATAATAATGTTAGGAGCAATATCCCTTTAACTATTCATAAAAAAAAAAAAAAAAATCATAGGATATGTTAATGATGCAGCCTACGGCAAAAATTTAAATTCCCTATTATCATGTTTTTATATTCCAAAACTACTCTTAAACTAGTCATTTTAATATTATCAGAAGATAATGTAGTACCCCTCGTTTTCTGTATTATTTATGAGATCATTATTTGTCGAGGAAAAGTTATCCTTGAATAACTTTTTCAAGATCCTCTGTATAAACAAAGATAAAAAAAAGTTTTAGGTCACCGCTCACCCCAAGGCCTCTTTGCATTATGCATTTCCTCTCTGGAAATTCTGATACATCATGAAACAAGATTCACACCTTTGAAAATCCTAAAGCAAAACGCCCAAAGCCTTTCACAGTCCGCATTTGGAAACAGCCCATGCCAATATTAATATCATTCAATCTCTGGACCAACTGTTTCCAGCCCGACAGTATCAATGTCTGACACGCTAATCCAATGACTGCAGGCTCTATTACTTTCAATTAGCTTTGACAGCTCGGGGCTTAATCTATACTGGGCACGTGTGTGCGCTCTGTCGCGAGGGCAAGGTGCTTGGGATTCTTTTTGTTGTTGGCGTTTTCATTTTTTATTCTGAGGTGAACCAGACGTGGCTTTTGTGACCTGGCTTGTGCATCATGAGTGGGAGTCGCGCTTGATAGCAGCCGTGAACTGAAGATGAGTGTTTGTTTATCACTGCAGCCATTTTAAGCACATGCACGCACATACATGTGCAAGGTCACCCTCAGTCAGACACATGGCCTAAGTGCACTAAACATCTAAAGAGTTTATGTTATTATAATATAGATGGCATTCATGGGGTTCGAAAGATCACTGTCTACAGTGAAAATCAGGGATTTTTTTGTTTTGTTTTTTAAATAAAAGATTTGTATGTTTGCAGCCTTGGTGAGAATAAGAGACTTCTTTCAAAAACATAAAAAAAAAAAAAAACTTAAGACCTCAAACTTTAGAATTAAATATATATATATATATAGGCCTATATATATATATATAAAGATATAAATCAGTAATATATTTTAACATATTAACGAATTTTCAGCAGCCATTAATCCAGTCTTAAGTCACATGATCCATCAGAAGTTATTAGAAATTATTCTAATATGCTGAGATTTGATGCTCAAGAAACATTTCTTATTTGTATAAATGTTAAAAAAAGCTTAACATTTTTGTGGAAAATGTGAAACATTATTTCAACATTCCAAAGAACAGCATTTATTTTCAATAGAAATCTTTTGTAACATTATAAACATCTTTACTGTTTTTTTTTTTATCAATTTAATATGTTCTTGCTACATACAAGTATTAATATCTGTAAACATTATACATTATATGTATCAGTTTCTTATTTTGCCCAACATTTTTAACGTTAGTATAATATAAGACATATAACATTTATATTATTTTCATATTTATTTTCATTTTATTCTAATACATTAATTCAACATTAATTCAACATTAATATACTATAATATACTATAATATACTATAATATAATATAATATAATATAATATAATATAATATAATATAATATAATATAATATAGTTTTAACTAAATTACAGAAATGTAAAATATGTGCATTTTCACTAGTGGTCTCAGACTTGGAAAATAAATTTACAGCACGTCCCCTTTTTTGCGGTTACCGTAAGGCAAGGCACATTTATAGATCACAAACCCATGTGGCCACAGATTAGTTAAGTTTTATGCATGTTTTCTTTTAAAATGCCGATAACATATGCATCACACATCTGTCCATACATACGTCTTAAGCCTATAATGTATTCATGATTAAATTCCCCAGCTCAAAGACTGAGCCCTACAAAAGCAGCTCTACCCCAGCCCCCTGAAGCTTTCCTATAATCCCAACATTGCTAATTCAAATCTTGAATGATGTCCCCAGCAGCAATGCAGCAATGACCTGTACATTTGATGCGCAACAAATACATGCAAAAAAATATTTGCGGCGTCAGAGCTCGACACAATGCTCTGAACTCACGACGGGTGCTGTTTGCTTTAGAGGTCTAACATTCAGGAATCGGCACCTGCTGAGGTACAGATGGGAAGTGGAGCCACTACCTGATCATATAACTAAATAAAAGAATCTTTACTGAAACACATTTAAACCTGGTGTACTCTCTGTACAATATACATCCTTGTATATTTGTCCCAAAATAAATCTTTTGCAAAAATTAGTCTCAGATGGTAAAATTGTGGCCAAATGTCACAAATACGCCAGGTCTTAAATATTTCAAATCGAATTAATTGGAAATTAAATTTATTTGATGGTTTTAGGCATTTTGCAGAAAAGCGCCTGCGGCCTGCAATACTTAAATTTATCATAATGGACCACAAAACAGACAGGTGTCTTTCTGCTCTATTTTACCTGGATGCAAACACTCCAAATAGACCAAATAATGTATTTGGATTGGCGATGTTATAGCATATGGTTTATTGAGAGACATGACTGTTTTGGCTTGGAATTTCTGACTGGTCAGGACCAGACCAGAGAATGTGCATAAAGCCATTTGGCTTCAACCATAGAGTGAATCTTCTGTCCAAGAACCTGAAAAAACAAAAAAAACCTGCTGAGGAAATGAGAGACATTAACTAAACTAATAGCAGTTTATTTAGCTCCTGTAAACTAAAAGCATTACTCTTTTTGTCACCTTATTGTATTGTATCATATTGTAAAAGCCACAAAAATCTATTATGTTCACGCTGTTGTTCATTCAGTTCAATTCCTGATTCTGTAAGTTATATTCCTTTCACATAATCTGCAAATGTATTCCACACTCAAAGCTTCAGGTCTCAGGGCCAAAGAGAAACTATGTTCACCCTCAATTTGTCTTGAGTATATGCACAGCATGCCCTATAGGACCATTTGCACTGCAAACCACTCAAGGCCAAAGACTCAAGGACCACGGAAAATAAACTCTAGTCTAAATACCAGATATTTGTTGTACTTCCATCAAGGTCTCAAACACCAGGGACCCAAAAATAGGAAAGTTGAGAAAAAAAGGAAAGTTTTAGTAAAACAACATGTCAAAAAATCATCTAGTTTTAATAGTATGAGTAGTGTCTATACTGTATATAGATAATATGGTAATGGTATATGAGGACATATGATAAGTTTATTCCTCCAAGGACTCAGAATACTTTATAAGTAAGGAATAATTGACGACGGACCGTTGAATTATTAGAAAAATAAAACATTGGTCAGATGATGCATTTCAAGACATTTGTCGGGTTTTTGTCCTTATGTCGTAACGCTCGTGTATAGCGAAACTATGTTTATCTGCACCTCGTGAGAAATGTCATGTAGCTTATAAGTTGCTAAACTATTTTACTGATAAAATTGTCAGAGCAGTGCTGACAAGTGTGTGTCCGTACTCATTTTCAATAATAACTAATAAATGCATAATAAAACGTAATTTTGTGGCAAAAACTTGGAAATAATTGGTCATTTTTATCCTATTGTTTATTATATTTATTTGCTCAGTCTGTGTCATTGTGGGTTTTGGTTCAGTAGGCTGTAAAAAACCTTTGAAATAAATCATTTGGCGAACTGATAAGGAAATGTAGTGCGGTTAAGACCTGCCTGGAACTACTTTAGTTGTGCGTTTTCCGGAAAATAATTGCACACCTTAGAATGTTTTTTGAATCAAGCATTCAACAGCCCCGTAGTATAAATGAAAATAATACACTATATGGGTTAAAGGTATAGTTCACCCAAAAATGAAAATTCTCAAGTTGTTTAAAATCTATATGAGTTTCTTTGTTCTGTTGATATTTTGAGGAATGTAACCAGACCATTGACTTCCATAGTATTTTTAATTTTTTTTCTATGGAAGTAAATGGCTACAGTTAACTGTCTGGTAACAAACATTCTTCTAAATCAACGATTTGGCCGTCTGAGACAAATTTAGCAAATCCTAAAAGAATCCTCTGATCCTAGGCTAAAATCTGAAGTCTTTGATCGTTAGTTTGACGTTCAGCGACAGCTGATTAATGACCGTTGCGCTAAAATTTGAAGATTTGACTCACGGTCCTGCAGTGTGACTTCACCTACGACAAGAGTCAAATTGTCTTTGTTTTTCAAGACAAGCAGTGACCAAAATTAACGTTTTCTTTGTAGCCACCATTTGAACCCCGCGTGTAATGCAGCTCACTGTAAACGTACGTGTCATTGATTGATGATGTAAAACTCTGGACAAGTTCTTACGTGTGTCTGTTTTTAACGCGTCTTGACTGTCGTACAGTCTGACATTAATGAAAACTGAGATCTTACAGTGTGACATGGATTACAGCGATGATCATGTTCGTACAGTCCGACAAGCAACAATCGCAAATTGCACAGTGTGCACCCGGCTTAAGAAACATCAGGTCAGGTGAACCCACAACCCTTCCAAACATACAGGGTTTCAATAAAGGGATAGTTCTCCCAAAATATCATAATTTATTCACCCTCATGTTGTTCCAAACCCGTATGACTTTTCATTTTTGAGTGGATTCCTTTTAAAACCAATTATTCAACTCGTAGTTCAGGCAACCCAACGACATGTTGCAAATCTATAAAATTGATGACAATCCTACATTTTAACAGTAAAAGCACACATCATAAATCATGTTAAACCCACACATAGACCTCCTGAGTCGCATGTTCGTATGCTGGCTTTCTCTGGCACAGGAACATGAGCTGCCATGTTTGGGAGCCGAGGAACAGCGCACCATTAAAAGGTCCTGACTCACCTTGTTTTAAGAGCAAGGCCTAATTGCTACCATCTTTTACAGCAGCCAATGCGGCAGCTGGCATTTGCATAGATCTACAGGGACTGTCATTACCTCAAAATGAAGCATAGCTCTGGCTCCTTCACACTCGCTGCCTTCAGTGTACCTTGCACAAGTTGAGGGAACAGTGCGCTTGCGTGTGTGTGTGTGTGCGTGTGTGTGTGTGTGTGGTAGGGGAGCTATTAGAATTCATCTCCTTTGACTCACAACCTACCGTTTGACTTACAAAAAGGGGTCCATTATTTAAGTTCAAAATCTGCGGAGAGGAAGAGCGCATGAGGAATGAAAGCATTTAAACTGTGCTTTATCGTAGCACACCTCAGGGGCCGCTTATTTATGATGAAACAACAGGATGCTTTAGCGATTAAATCCATACTGACCTGTCATGATTCCCAAACGCAGATCTTTTAGAAAAGTGAGGCATTAAAGGAGAGATTTTTTTTAATAAAAAGATGATGACAACTTGGCTTATAGCATGGGTGGAATCAGAACGACGGTTAAACTCATTTCCCCAGGTGCTGAGAGAACAGGTCAAAAAGGACAAACTATCACTGTCTGATCTCATGAACTGAAAAATACTGTATTAATATTAACATACAGCTTTAACTATACAAAAAAAAAGTGTTACCTTAGAATAACAATTAGCCTATGTGTACACTACCGTTTTTTAATGTTTGGGGGGGGGGGGGGGGGGGGAGACTAACTAAGTCTGTCATTAGTTAGCATTTCTGCCAAGGACAAATATTTCATAAACAACCCATTTAAATACCTGGAAGGCTGACTAAACCGAAAGTCTATTTCTGGAAGGCTGTAGTAAATATTTTGACAGTTACATTGGTGGCAGAAATAAAAGAAAAACAACTCATAACATCGCTTTGGCCTAAAGGCTGAATGGCTCATTTGGAAATGTGCAGGTGTTCTTAGCCCCCTCAGTCTTCCCACAATGCACTCAGTCCTTCTGCCCAAAGCAGCGGCTGACCGCAGAAGCGTCACCGGCCGTGTTCAGTCCAGCTGACATGCTGCACACTGACGCTTTTCTTCACACAGCCCCTGTTTGCTGCTATAGAAAGCCTCACAGATTGGCATTCTCACACCCCTTGCTCAGCTAAAGTTCCCTCGAATGGATGCGTCGAACAAATGTGCTATTCGGATATTAAGCAATGACTGTTTATGTCATTCAGGTTCAATATAAAGAAAGTTAATTAGCTACTTTGAAACTGTTGCTTGCTAAGCTACGTAAAGTTAAAGAAGTTCAAATTAGGGCTGCACATTCACAATATATTGAAATAAAATCCATATTGTGATATTGTCAGGGTTTCTACAGGTATCTTCAAATTAAATTGAATGCCCTTTTAAGGCCTTAAAAGGCATTAATTTTCGCAAAATCCATTTAAGGACTTTTAATGCTTTTTAATGCCCCGCGGAAACCCTGTATTGTGATAGTCAAATCAGGAAGGCTGCAATTTAATGAAATAAATACACTGGTACTGGCACATTCCCCGTTCTAGATGCTGAAACACTGTATCATAAAATGCACGCATGTAAATGACTCAAGACCTGCTCACACCAAGGACGATAATGATAAAGATAAAGATATAGTTCTTATAATCGTTCTAAATGTAAAAGAATAGCAAAGTTCACACCACAATTATAACGATAACGGCACAGAGGAACAATATCGTTGGAATCACTTTCAGAAAGATTTTTTTTCCAGCTGATGAACCATAAAAAACATTGACAGCCAATCAGAATCCATCCTGCTTTAATGAGCTTGAGCATTTAAAGAGACAGCAGTGCACTTAGAATAAATAGAACGATATCATGCGTTGGTGTGGATGCTAATATAGTTAACTTTAGTATTAGTCTTGGTGTGAACGGGCCTTTAGCTGCACCGCTATTCAACGGAAAAAGTAGCTTGTTTCTAGAAAAGCTATAGTGTTTTAAAAACATCTGAGATAATATCACGGTACTAACATGTGTATTCACACTAATAGTATGAACATGACTACTTCTCTACTATATAGTAGGTGAAAAACAGTATGTGATAATAGTATGTTTGAAATTACAGTGTTCATAAAGCAGGTGAAAAGCATCCTGATGATCTCTGGCAAGATTCTGACTATCTCATGCACGATTGCACATCCAGATTTCATTCATAATACACATTTATATTTCGTACTATATAGAACATGGTCTAAAGGTCGCAATGTTTGTTCCTCATCAAATGCAGTAGTCAGACAGGATGTTACATTAGAGGAATGATATATGAACTAACTGAAGCATCACAATCAAGCGAAAAGATAAATGAATTTAAGAGGTGCCAGAATCCCTGCAAGGGAAGTTTGGATAGTCGTGCTGAGTTTGGGTGAGGCGGTCTGCTGTAAGTCAACGGGATGAGAGCAGGGACACGGCCATTTGTCATGCCGTCAGCGGATTCAATAATTAATGGGCCATATCGCATCTCAGCCCGCCGTAGCCCAGTTCACCGGTCTCACTGCGCAGGAAACATATTGTCCCCGCAGTGTGGTCCGCAATGGCTTTTTAAAATTCCTCCTCATTAAGGAGGAACATTCACTTGCACTACCAGTCATTTATTTGCTCTCTGTGACAAAGTGGCGGCCCCTTCAAGTTCACGCTCTCTTTCCCACGTCCCCGCGCACTGTTTTAAATCATCTGCCCCGCAAGGGAGGAGACCCTCTCTGCTGAGATATCTAATTACCCACAGTCCAGTGCAGAGATGCTGACAAAAGAATGGAAAAGAGAGATAGCAT